TAGATCTCAAGTCACTCTCCGCAAGAAGGTTTTTTAATCGCTGCTTTGCAATCTACAAATGTCTGATTGAGGAAACTGATTTTAACTTTAATTTCATCAAAAATCAAGCTGTTCATTCATATAACACAAGACAATGATCTTCGTTTACCCCTTCCTCGAACTAACTGGGGAGTACTGGGGTAAACCAACATTTTATCTATCACGCTGCGAGAGACTGGAACAGTCTTCCAACCGATCTGAAAGAAACACATTTCCTATCTATTTTTAAATCCAAGCTGAAAACTTTTTAAAAAGATTTTAATTAATTTTTACACTTTGATATTCGATTGGTTATCAATTTTAAGATTTTGACTCTTTTTAAATTTATTTATAAACACATTTTATTATTATTATTATTATTATTATTATTATTATTATTATTATTATTATTATTATAGGTCTTACAACCGGCGGCCATGTTGCGTTATTCAAACAACAATATATTTTTCACAAATTTGGCTAACTTTTTTATCTGTCTTTATTTCACAAATTTGATCACTTTTATTATTATTATTATTATTATTATTATTATTATTATTATTATTATAGGTCTTACAACCGGCGGCCATGTTGCGTTATTCAAACAACAATATATTTTTCACAAATTTGGCTAACTTTTTTATCTGTCTTTATTTCACAAATTTGATCACTTTTATTATTATTATCATTATTTGTCTTTATGTCACTAAAGCACAATAAGTTGCAAATGATTTCGTGACAACTGCTCTGGGAATTTAGAGCTTAGTATTGATTTGTGATTTAAGACTAAACATGGATTCATTGCTAACACGGCCACAGGCGAAGAAAAAAAAACCCTTGAACGACTGGGTTTAAGGGAGCAAAGGTTGATATCCGACATCAATATAATTTAAACGAAGGTAAGTGTTTGTAAGCCTTCGCCTTATTCGTTATTTACATTTAAAAATTTTGATCATTTTACTCACTGATCTGTTGCTCATTAACATTTTCCCCCTTAATCTGGTTGAATAATGTCAAAGAAATTTTGTATCCTAATTTGTTCGAGAAAAAAATTTTCTGCGAGTTAAAAAACCATGACTACCTATACAACTTTCGTTTCACAGCTAGAGAAAGATCCTTGAGAATGAAATCAGTTGAATATTTGCAACGTCCACAAGAAAAACGTGCTTCGTATTGTTTTCATTGACAACCTAGTCAGCACCACAGTAGCGCAGATGACAGGGATGCACTGGAGGTGTACCACTGATGTAATACACAAAATATCCATTGCAATTCCTTACTTGGATGTTGATGGACCAGACGCAGCATCCTTCTGACCAATTAAAGCAGACCTGCCTGGTGACTATACCCTCAGTCACTGTAGGATGAGCGCCGTTTAACCAACCAGTTGCATGCGTTCCACAGCGGTGAGTTGGAACACATGTGGCAGCCATTTTATTCCCGGCTGCTCCCTGGAAACGAAACCAATTTGGACCGAGTGAATTGTCGCATAAAAGAACTCCGGTGAAAGTTTCTTTCCTGTTAGCTTCTGTAAGACTTGCATGATTTTGACATTCTGAAGAAGAAGATAAATACACAGCAAGAGAGTTACAGTAACGTTACCTCATAATTGTTTCGGTTCATTTCTTTCATTTTCATTAGTCCCACCAGTATTTTACCTTCCTGGTATCGCTGTTTTAATGCCTTTTAGGTAATTCAATCGCTTCAACACAGTTCGAAATGATTGACAATATTCTTGTCTCATACATTTTATTAGTTCATTAATCTGTTATTTAGATATTTTCTCCTCTGATCATGTGCGTGGGAAAGAGCTTTGAATCTCAATTCGAGTAAAATTATCATTCTTATTTTCTTTGAGATAAAATATTTATATGTACGGCTCACGACTCACTCTTCTGAATCATTACCCGCCCTAATTTCTAAAAAATAAAGAAGAACAATCTTCAGTGAAGCATCTAACGGTCAGACGAAAATATCTGAAATAGTATAAGATGAAAAAAATATGCTAGCCTCCGCAATTTTAAGTCAAATTATTTCACATTACTTATAAAAGAAAAAACCACTGAC